TGTCATCCGAGAAGTGTGAGCGACCGAGGTCTTCTCTGAGCAAATCTGCTCATTTGTTTATACAATCAAGTACGGAGAAAATCGTTAGGTTTCGACGAACAGTAATTGCCCGGCGTCACTTTTCCGCCACGTAAGATATGTCGTTCCTAGTTCGATTCTTCCAACTGTCATAACTCGTCAGATGCGTGTTACAACCACTGGTGACATAACTTTCCATAATTATCATAAACCGTCATATCAGTTTCTATGGAGAATATGCTGAAGAAACCTTTGTCCAGAAAACATGTCAGGCAGTAGTCCAGAAGCTCTTAAGCAAAAGTTGCAAGTTAAGAAAATGTCGTTAAGTAAATTCCTTTGTTCAGTCGTCTTCTGCTCTTCGTTAAAGCAAAATGTTACCACGTCGATCTAAGATCCGATGAAACTTATTCTATCTCAGAATCAGCTTCGTTCCACGACTGTTAAAGACCTAAGGAAGTGAACAAAGAAGGTTAAGAGCAATGTTCTATGGGGAAGAACAATCTACCACAGTAAATGAACCTGAAAAGCCTTCACGTTATTTTAACATTGGCAATCACAAATTAGCTTCATCGAAAAATCACAATTTAGTCCAAAATTTAGCTAGTTTTGAATGGCGAAGAGAATCGACAGATTCTAGACAAATGCTGAGCCACAAGGAACGACTACTTTAAAGTCGAGTGGAGGACGGGGTAATATGGCCTGATTTTGGCAGTTGATCAATGGGCAGGCACTCTATGCGGGAATACAAATCGCCCAATTTAAATCCGTAAGTGCATTTCAGCCGGCTTTCACTAACTAATATGTAGAACCCTGCTGCGCAAGATTTCTTAGTCTTCGATGACAAAGAGGGTATCAGCCATTAGCGGACTATATACAAATGCTATAGGATTCGCGTACGCGCCATAAACACCTGAAATGCGCATCGTCCTAGCTGACGGCCGATCCCATTATCCGGAGTACGCGGTCACGAATCGCAATCTGTGAAACTAACTCAGCTCCATTCCTTTACACCAGTTCAACCAGCTTGTTGCCTTCCCCTTGCCTTTGCGCGATAAGCTCGGTCGCCCACCTTCTTCCTACCGTGCTGTTCTTGCTCTCAGCGAAACCTAATGCGTGCCAGTGACAGTCTTTTCCTAAATTGCTCCAGGGGTGGTGAAGGCGGTTGATGGTAAATGATGCAGCGGCACGAATTTAGTGGCGGCGGTGGCTGGTGAGGCGGCAGCGGCACTTACTGGTATTTCCAGCGGTTCCCGGCGGCTTGATTTCGACATTCTTTAAACCAGGGATCATATCGCAAAGGTGCCAAACCGTTTGTTTCGGCAAAGCGACTTTAAATTTCAAAAACAGATCCTTGCAGCGCGACGGGTTGTTCATCAGGTTAATTTCTGAAATGCAGACACCGGTGAATGACGGTGACAATGGGACAGGTCAAAAAGGCGTTTGCTACCGGTTTCGAGTATGGTGTCGTCAGAACTGCGTGCTACCGGCCTCCTGAAAGAGTCCTCGTGGACAAACAGAGACTCTGAAACGCCCCTGTCATCTCGATAGCCAGACGACTTCACCATATCAGACCGCTTCGGATCAGCAAACTTTGCTCTATACTCTAAAAATGAGGAGCAGTAAAACGCGAAGCTGGCAGAAGAGGAACGAACTACGAATGACACACACATATGTGGAAGCCTGAGAAAGAAATTCGCTTACAACAGCAATGTTTTCCGTCCAAATAAAGGGCCAATACCATACATCACCTTCCAAAGAAGTAGCCTACCCTATGCTCAACCCTTATAGCCGATAAAGGATCTTAAGCTACCTACCAAAAAAATTTTGAATACTTCGATTTTTGACAAGCTGAGATGAAATATGAAACGAATACAGGTTTGAATAATAATAACACTAATAACGAACGGTAGATTAGATTTTAAGGCAGAAACTTCTCGCAGAGTACCTTTCTTTCGTTATTCAGTTTTCAGCTTTAAAAAAAGTTTCTCTATAAACAAAACGTAAAGATGCATAAAGAACCGGCCAAACCGATTCTTGTTATTGGGCTCTGTCAAACCTAGTCGTACCTTCCTTCCTTCCTTTAGGAACTTAGGCGAACTTCTTATTTGGTTCATAGATGTCGAAGGAACAGATTAGACGAACATGAAGCTAAATGGATCGAAGTCGCTGCACCTAAAGTGCCAAAAATGTGTCGTTTTCGACTTACATTTGGAAACTAGTCTAACAGGAAAATTTATGCAAAATCCCGCGATGCTATTCTTTTTATTTACACACGAATGTTGCTACGAGGACGGCACAACTGTACTGAATTACACTCACATGCACTGGCGGGATCAAACGCATATTATTTACAAGGAGTTTCGTTCACTATAATGAATTTAGACAGGCAAGCAATTCACTACATAACGTTAATTAATTTACGCGGAATGAAAGTAGGCATGTTTGTAATTGCTGGAATGTCGGTCTTCCTTACACTTTCATGATTGGGCCATTTCACATAACCTTTTTTTCATTGAGTAAATGGTAGGGCGTTGACATTCGTTTCTGTGCCATCCGCCAGGAATGCCTGCTGTATGGCACTACATACATACTTTGTAGTCTCCTGTTTTTTCCCATGGACTGGTACTCATTTACCAACCTCGGAAGGGGAAGGGCTAGTTACCAACCAGGGTTCAAACCCAGGACCTCTACCCGTTAGTTCTGAAACTGGCGCTCTGTCAAATGAGTAACAATGGCCAGTAACGTAGCATGAGTGCGATGAAACCCTTTTTAACAACAACGCTTAGACTGGAGCTGTGATCGTTAAACTGCGTCTTTAAGAATACCGAGGTAAGAAATGCAGATCATTCGAAATAAGTCTACCACAATATCCACATCAGGTACATAAACAAAGCTCAAATAGAGGTGTTTTATGACTCTGTCCGAAAATTATGTGATTTTCAGTTATGACTTATGTGCCCTCGAACGTCATAATGGTAGTGTCGGCTGTTTCTCTGTCGCTGATAGTTCAAATGCGTGTGACTTAGACGGCCACAATCGACTGAGACAAAAGAATAAAACTGAAGAATAGAAAAAAGAGCTCTAAAAATAGAGAGTCTTATGACGAAGCCAGGTCGAAAATAACAGTTATTGCATGGAGATATAGGACGGTGGATTCAAAAAAGTGGATGCTGTAATACCGTATGATTAGCGAATAACTGACTACAATGTTCCACTGCCTTTCCAAAAAACCTTCCTTTACGTCCGTTGGTTTATATCGATTTTCAGATATGAGACGCCTTCGAAAATAGATGCCCTGTAGCCAGTGTCCATTGCTTTTTTTCACAGTGACACACTCGGCTTAATTTTCACTTGACCTGACTAGAGTTGATTTACGGTGAACGAACGACCGACCCTTTAGTTAAGCAGGAGCTAGTTTCGTTACCTCTATCGCACTCCTCCAGCGCTAGCGCGCTTTCGCTCGCCTTCGCAAAACGGATATAAGCGATACGGCCACTTTTCACCACATGTACATCGACTACGTCGCCAAAACTCTGAAAATGTTCCACAATCTCTTCTTTGGTCTTCCCCGGCGGCACCACGATGAACAGTCGCATCAGTCGTTCGTGTTCATTCGGATCACGCCGACTGCCTTCCGAACGGCCGCTAGCGATCATCACCTAAACCACGGCAGTGACAAGAACGGTATAGAAATAACAGTTATGCATAAATTAAACATGCATCAAAAATATAACACAGTCTTGGTTCTTCGGCTAAATACTTGACACTAAATTCCCATGAGTCAACCACGCTACTCATGGCATCCAGCAGTACTTATAGCGATCATTAGCATGTGTATGATATCGTGCTATCAAGCAACTAAATAAACGTTTACTGAACTCACTGCAGGCGCGCTCATCGAGGATACAGGTGGGGTTACGAATCGGTGTTATGCAGAAAAGAATTAGTCGTTGATAGAGTCGTTGATAGAGAACATGCATCATTTTTCAAGTATCCTGGCTGAAGGTGGGGGCTTTGATGCAAAAGCAGACCCGGAACTTACTACGCTTCATAGCCATGACCTTGAGCACGAGGCATCTTGACACGTTCATACGTATGCAGCGTTACCTAAGGCTGTTTTCCTCCATCAACACGTTCAAGTAAATCAGCTTAAGGTTGGAAATATTAAGAATTCTATCATTTCAGCAAAGTCAGTGACGCAAAGTGGAGGACGATTCGTTCGTCTGGATGGTTGGACATTGAACAAATATACCACCCTAACTGTGTGTAAAAAATCAGAATTAGGCAAGACTGTCCTTTTCTCTCTGCTCATTATGACGACAGGATGACAGAGAACGGGTAAAACTGTCCAACACTTGTCGTCATATCGTTTATTCATTATCATATTCTGCTACCGCTTCGGGGTTGCAGAGGTGGTAGTTACAGGAAGTTTCTCCAAAGGTCCCAATCTTTTACCAACTGGACACGCTTAACGGAAGTACTGGATTCAAAGAGCGAGTGTTTGTGTTCAGTATTTTCGAACCGCATGTTTATATTGCAAGTTCTTGCTTCTTTTCAGGTGGCTTCGTGTCAGCCATCAGCATAGGTGAAATAGTTTGACTGTATTGGTTCCTAAATACAGGAAAATTTTTCTTTCTGGGTAAGCATTCTCCTGAACAGTCGGGTAGCGTGCGTTATTGCAACGCAGCCTTGCATCTTAAACTTTAACGGACATTCAAGCAAGCATCTGCTTTGTATTACGTGGACATCGGCGACACATCCACGAGTCTCTTTCGCAATCACTGGCTAGAGCAATGCAGACCTTTGTTCATAGAGTAACAGCGGTTATGAGTATAAGCACGCCATGACTATGTTGTATGTCGATCATTTAAATTTTTATGGCGAGGCAAGTTTCAGTCAAATCATAATCGTAGTACAGGAAAGAAACAAGAACTCCATTCATTACGAATTACGTATTTCTTAAAACTGTTACGCTGTTCTGTATCTTCCGCTTCTTCCTCTTCCATTTGTTCGTGGTCTAAATTGTTATCGTTATGCCTTCAACAAATTTTGTTTTTCATCTGTTTTGTCTTCATTTTCTGCCGCCAGTTTATCTCCTACTTCTTCTTTGCATCCGCTCTTTGGTCATCTAGAGCTTCTTCATCTTGTTCATCTTTTCTATCTGTTTCTTCAGTTTCCATTCCTTCTGGTATATCTATTATTCTTCTTTGTTTCCTGTTTTCCTGTCGCTGCTTCAACTTCTATCCTTTTCACTTCTTCATGCTCTGCTTCTTCCTCTTCTACCTGTTCGACATCTACATTTGTTTTTCTGTTTCCTCCCATTGTTGCTTTTCTTGTTCTTTGTCTTTTTACATCAAGTTTCTTTTTCTTCATCTGTTTTTGTTAACTACATTTTAATCTAACATACCTGAAATCGAAATCCTGCTATTGAATCTATATGTTCACACCTGTCACATCTATCAATAAAGCCGGTCTGCCAGTCCCGTTACCTAGAAAACGAACCAAACGAATCCACCAACCTTTATAGGCTTCGGGCATTGGCCAAGAGTTGCGCGGTTCATTTCCTCCATCGCCTTGCATGCTTCGGACGCCTTCGAGAATTTCACGTAGCAAACACCTGCAGAAGCCAAGCATTAGAAAACGACAATCATTGACGTACTCTGGTGATTTTCGTTGGTGCCTTTTGCTTCGCCGGATTTTGACCTCACGATCCAGACGTCTTCGATTTGGCCAAATTTGTCAAAGCCAGCATGCAACTCATCTTCGGTGACGTCCTTCGCGCACAGGACGAAGAGACGACTGTTCGGCGGGTAGTCGGACGCCATATCGGGGAACACCATGGAAACGCGCGTGCTAAATCAGCAACAAGGAAACAGTCTAGAAAACTTGGTTTTAGAATAAACGAATTCAAACGCGGCAATTTACGAAATCAAAACTTTAACGACCACTTAACAAACTATACAACTATAGCAAAGGGTTCATGAACCTCTGCTTTTCACAGTGCAAATCAAATCAAAGAAAAATAGCCG